CCCAGCAGCCCCCAACACCTCCAGCAGCCCCCCAATATCAAGAGCAGCACCCCAAGGTCATGAGCACCCTCTCAACATCAAGAGCACTCCAACACCTTGATCATCTCCCAATGTCAAGAACATCCCCCCAGCACTTTGAGCACCCCCAAAACATCAAGAGGACTCCCCCAGCAGCCCCTCAATGTCAAGAGGACCCCCCCAGCAGCCCCCAACACCTCCAGCAGCCCCTCAATGTCAAGAGCAGCACCCCAAGGCGATGAGCACCCTCGCAATGTCACGAGCACCCCAACACTTTGAACATCCTCCAACCTCAAGAACCATCCCCCCAGCACCTCAAGCACCCCCAAAACATCAAGAGAACCCCTCTGGCAGCCCCCCAATGTCATGATGAACACCTCCAGCAGCCCCTCAATGTCAAGAGGACCCCCCAGCAGCCCCCAACACCTCCAGCAGCCCCTCAATGTCAAGAGCAGCACCCCAAGGCGATGAGCACCCTCTCAACATCAAGAGCACCCCGACACCTTAAACATCCCCCGACCTCAAGAACATCTCCCCAGCACCTCGAGCACCCCCAAAACATCAAGAGGACCCCACCGTCCCCTTCCCGAATGTCCCCTTCCTCACCTTGGGGACAAAGAGGACGACCAAGGTGATGTAGGAGGAGAAGACGACGGCCAATGAGGCGAAGGCGAAGGCCGCATCCTGTTGGCTGCTGAGGATCATGGTGACGGGCGCCGTGATGAGGCAAAGGACCTGTGGGGTAGGAGGGGGTGTTTTGAGGGTCCCTGGGGACATTTTTGGGCTGGATTTGGGGTGAAGATGGGGGGAAATGAGGCAGAGCCACCCCAGTTTACCGCCACGTTGTAGATGGCCATGCCCACGGCGCGGTGGTCGTTGATCTTCTCGGTGGAGACGCTCTTGGTCTCGTACGCCAAGAAGATGCCCAACAGCAGCAGCAACCCCTTGAAGCCGTAAAATATCCCTGGGGGGTGGATGCCGGGGTGGTCAAACAGGGCCCCCTCAACTTGGTTTAGGGTGGCGGTGGTCATGGGTGGGCAGAAAGGAGCCCCCATGGGTGCCTCAGTCTCCCCTTGATGCTCTACAACGTTCCTGTGCTCACAACTTTGCCTGTACCCCTCCTTCTTGAGCCCCCCAGTCCTGCCTGTACCCCCATCCGTGCCCACCTCCCACACCCCAAATCCCCAGTGCCCACCGAGCCACGTGTTCATCTTGGTGGAGCTGCAATGCTCCAACTGGGGCAGGATGGAGACATCCGTGTCTGTCTTGGGTTCCTCCTTGGTGAACTCCTTGGGGGAGGTAAAATGGGGTTTGAGGGAGTGGTCTTTGCTGTGTGACCCCCCCCAGAAGCACCCCAAAACCTCCAGCAGCCCTCCAATGGCAAGAGCAGTGCCCCAAGGCCATGAGCGCCCTCCCAACGTCAGGAGCACCCCAACATCTTGAACATCCCCCCGATGTCAAGAACATCCCCACTGCACCTTGAGCACCCCCTAAACATCAAGAAGACTCCCCTAGCAGCACCCCAACACCTTAAGAAGACTCCCAATGTCAAGAGCATCCCCTCAGCAGTGCCCCAAGGCCATGAGCCCCCCCAACATCAAGAGCACCCCAACAACTTGAAAATCCCCCAATGTCAAGAGCATCCCCTCAGCAACACCTTGAGCACCTCCTGAACATCAAGAGGACCCCCCAGAAGCACCCCAACACCTCCAGCATCCCCCCAACAGCTTCAGCAGCCCCTCAATGTCAAGAGCAGCACCCCAAGGCCATGAGCACCCTCCCAATGTCAAGAGCACCCCGACACCATGACGCCCTCCAGAACATCAAGATGACCCCCCCAGCAACCCCCCAACACGTCCAACATCCCCCCAACACCTTCAGCAGCCCCCTAATGTCAAGAGCACCCCAAGGCCATGAGCACCCTCTCAACATAAAAAGGACTCGCTCAGCAGCACCCCAACACCTTGAACACCTCACCAACGTCAAGAACATCTCCCCCAGCAACACCTCGAGCACCCCCAAAACATCAAGAAGACCCTCCCAGCAGTACCCTAAAACCTCGAGCATCACCCCAACATCAAGAAGACCCCCCTTGGTGGTGCCCCACCTCGATGGTGCGGTGCAAGGGGTCCACGATTTGCCAGATGATCAACGTGACCACGTCCAGCCCCACGAGCAGCCCCACGGTGGCATACAGCTTCCACGGCTCCAGGGTCTGGGGGCAACACCGTGTCACCGAGAACCCCATTGGGACTCCCACACACACCCCAGGGGGTCACTCCTCACCTTCCTCTTCTCCTTCTTCTCTTCCTTCTTGGTGAAAACGGTGTGGACCCACCAGATCTTGGTGAACATGCTGCCGTACGCCAAGCTGAACCCCAGCCCCAGCAGCCACAACCGTGCCTAGGGGTGGAAGAGCCGGTTGTACCTCCCCGTCCAGCTGTACCCACCCCACATGCACCCCCATGGCGTGAACACCCCATCATGGACCTCCTTTGATCAACCTCAACAGTTCCTCGTCTGGCTGTCCCTATCTGGCTGTATCTCTGCCTGTCCCTATCTCCTGGTTGTATCTCCGACTGTTTCTCCTCCAGTTGTCCCCATCTTGTGGCTGTATCTCCAACGGTTCCTCCTCTGGTTGTCCCTCTCTGGCAGTATCCCCAACTATTCCTCCTCTGCCTGTTCCCATCCCCATGGTTGTATCCCCAGCTGCTCCTCTTCCAGTTGTTCCCATCCTGTGGCTGTATCGCCGACTGTTCCTCCTCCGATTGTCCCCACCCCCAGCTGTATCTCTGACTGTTCCTCCTCCACCTGTCCCTATTTCCTGGCTGTATCTCTGACTGCTCCTCCTCCACTTGTCCCCATCTCGTGGCTGTATCTCCATCTGTTACTCCTCCACCTGTCCCCATCCTGTGGCTGTATCTCCGACTGTTTCTCCTCCAGTTGTCCCAGCCCCCAGTTGTCCCCACTCTGCCTGTACCCCGCAACACCCCACCCACCCCGTACCTGACAGACGAATGGGAAAAGGCCCGGTCCGATGTGGTACCCATCAAGTCCCAAGGGGAAGACTGCAGCGAGCGCCAGCGTGCAGCCCACAGCCGTCATGTTGTTCAGGTACGGCTGTGAGTTCTGGATGTACCTGGAGGAGGGGTGTTGAGAAGATGTGGTGTCACATCTCAGCTCTTGGTGGCACACAACATTCATCAAACCCAATGAGATGTGAGAAATGGGAACACAAAGTGAGGTAACAGGAAACTACGCACTACAACCAGGCCCACAGTGTCACCCAAAGTGAGATGGGTGACTGGGACATCTACAAACAACAGTGTTTTGTCACTATCACCTTCCATAGGAGGACACAGGAGTACATAACCCCTTTTTTTCCCGTCTGGGTGTTGCAAACCTTGTGCTGCTGAGCTTTTTTGGGGGTTAGAAAAGGAAAAATGTGGTATTTTGCCCCTAAAAAGGAGGGCAAGCACTGACCGGACGTGGCCGTTGTAGATGTTGAAGGCCAGGCAGATGATGGCCAGGAGGATGGCCAAGGAGGCCAACACCGAGACAGAGATGAAGAGCTTCTGGGACAGGAAGCGGAAGGTGGTGATGACCTTGGTGTAATCGGCCGGGGGGGCACCACCTGCAGAGTCCATGGCACAATTCGGGGACACGGGGAGGTCTTCTCAACCCTTCCCCATGGCATGGACCCCCCCCCTGCTCACACCCCGTGTGCTCACCAATCCACTTGGGAGGCCAACACCGAGACAGAGATGAAGAGCTTCTGGGACAGGAAGCGGAAGGTGGTGATGACCTTGGTGTAATCGGCCGGGGGGGCACCACCTGCAGAGTCCATGGCACAATTCGGGGACACGGGGAGGTCTTCTCAACCCTTCCCCATGGCATGGACCCCCCCCCTGCTCACACCCCGTGTGCTCACCAATCCACTTGTCATTGTTGTACCAGGACAGGTTGTCCTTGGTGCTGTCGTAGTACCCGATCTTCTTGTAGACACCTCCTGCAAGGCGAACGTGGATGGGTCATGTGGAGGGTATGGCACCAAGACATCCCCCCAGCGCTGGCACAACACCCCCATGGTGTCACAGCCTGGCTGGGGGTCAGAAGGGACCTCTGGGGTTACCTGGTCCAACCCCCTGCTCAAGCACCACTCACCTTGCAGCTGCTCAATGAGCGTCCAGGCCATGCGGGAACCGCTGGCATCAAAGACCACGTGTCCCTGTGGGATGGGATGGAGATGGGTGTTGGGGACCTGTCAGGCAGCTGGACCACGTCCCCAGAGTGGTACCTCTGGGAGTTTTGGGGTGGTTCATGAGGGCACTGTTGATGGGTGCCTTCAAGGTGTTTCCCCCACCACCTCAAAGGTGCAGAAGTTTGGGACCTTGAAGGAGGGGATGTTTGGGACTGTGAAGGTGGAGGAGTTGGGACCTTGCAAGTGGAGGAGTTGGGACCTTGAAGGTGAAGGAGTTTGGGACCTTGAATGTGGACAAGTTGGGGAACTTGAAGTTGAAGGAGTTGGACCCTTGAAGGTGGAGGAGTTGGGGTCCTCAAAGGTGGAGAAGTTTGGGACCTTGAAGGTGGAGGAGCTGGGGACGTGGAAGGTGGAGTTGAGGACCTTGAAGGTGGAGGAGTTTGGGACCTTGAAGGTGGAGAATTTGGGGACCTTGGAGATTGAGGATTAAGGGACCTTGAAGGTGAAGGAGTTGGGGACCTTGAAGGTGAAGGAGTTGGGGACCTTGAAGGTGAAGGAGTTTGGGACCTTGAAGGTGGAGGAGTTTGGGACCTTGAAGGTGGAGGAGTTGAGGACCTTGAAGGTGGAGGAGTTGGGGACGCTGTTAGGGACCAGGGGACACACTAGGGCATGGCCAACGCACCGAGACACCCTCAAAGGCGGAGGAGTTGAGAGCGCGGTAGATCTCGTCGGTGATGTTCTTGTTGTTGTAGTTGAAGTCCTCCAGGCGCAACCCCTTCTTGACCAGCTCCGCCGAGGTCTTGTTGAGGGCCAAGGCCAGTGCCCAGATGGCGTCGTAGGCCAATGGAGCCTCCTGGAAGCCGCCCGTCTCCTCAGGGTTCTTGCCCAACCTCTTCTGCAGCTTCTCAATGAACTCCTGGGATGTCTGGGACCAGGACAAGATGGCAGTGATGTGATGGGTGGGATGGAGTGGACCCCTTGGAGGTGCCACACGTCCCCTGTCCTCCCCGTACCATGTTGGAGATGCTGCGGGTGTTCTCGGGGTTGAGCATCACGATCTCGGTGGTGACGTGGCCTTCCACCGCCTCGGCCATCTCCGCCTCGGTGCAGTTGATGGCCGGGTCCTTGATGCGGAACCAGTTGTCGGCGTACCAGCCAATCAGGAACCAGACATATTTCTTGCCGTACAGCTTCTCCTTGTAGACCTGCATGGGCCACATCCATCACCCATCCATCACCCTCATATGGTGTCCCTCCATCCCTTTATCCATCCATTCATATGGTCCATCCATCCATCACCCATCCATCACCCCCTATGGGTGTCCCTCCATCCTTTCTTCCATCCATCTCTCCATCCACTTCCTCATCCAAATTCTCTCCACCTATCTCCATGTGGTCTCCATCCATTCCCTCATCCTTCCCCTCATCCATCCACCCAAGTCGTCTCCACCTCTGCATCCATCCATCCATCCATCCATCACATACATATGCTGTCCCTCCATCCCTTCTTCCATCCATCCACCACCTCCATATGGTGTCCATCCATCATCCATCTCTCCATCCGTCACCCCCATATGGTGTCCCTCCATCCCTTCACCCATCCACCCATCCATCCTAACATCTCCCACCAACCCACACATCCCACCACCCTTTGTTCCACCCCACCATCCCTACTGCCCCACGTCCACCCAACCCTCTCCACCACATGCCACCCATGGTCCCATCCTCCCACATGGTGCCCACCCACACCACGTCCTCCCCTTTGCACCCCTCACCTCGCAGAAGACCTTGCGTGCTTCCGTCTCGTAGAAGAGCCCTACGATGATGCGGGCGTCCTGGCGCTGCGAGAAGACAAATCACCCTGGGGTGGGACTTCTGCTCCACCCAGCCTCATTTGCATAAATTCACATAGGGGTGGCTGAGGAGGACCAGAACCTTGGTATTGGCACAACCAGGTCATGGTCATTGCTCTCCATCTCCTGGATGAAGGAGATGCAGCGTTGACCTGGACATTTGGGCATCTTGGGGTGTCTCTGCTCCCTTTGAGGTACAGGATGTGGCTCCACCTGCACCCTGATGGTTGTGGGTGCTATGGGGGAGGATTTGGGGGGAATGAAGACCTGGTGGGGATGAGGAGCTGGTGGGGATGAAGGCCAAGGATGTGATGAGGATGAAGACCAAGGACCTGGTGAAGATGAGGACCTGGTGAGGATGAAGACCGAGGACCTGGTGAGGATGAAGACCGAGGACCTGGTGGGGACAAGGACCTGGTGGGGACAAGGATCTGGTTGGCATGAAGACGAAGGACCTGGTTGGGATGAAGACCTGGTTGGAATGAAGACCAAGGACTTAGTTGGGATGAAGACCAAGGACCTGGTGGGGATGAAGACCAAGGACCTGATTAGGATAAGGACCTGGTTGGGATGAGGACCAAGGACCTGGTGGGGATGAAGACCAAGGACCTGATTAGGATAAGGACCTGGTTGGGATGAGGACCAAGGACCTGGTGGGGATGAAGACCAAGAACCTGGTGGGGACAAGGACCTGGTGGGGATGAACTCCAAGGACTTGGTGGGGATGAAGACCAAGGACCTGGTGAAGATGAGGACCTGGTGGTAACGTGGACGGGGTGATGGCCAACGAGGACTCACCTTGAGGTTGCGCACGGGCGCGGCGGGGTCGGAGAAGAAGCTCTGCCGAAAGGTGATCTCCAAACCGGCCTCCTTCACCCGCTGGTCCAGGTCATCCAGGGTCTGGTGGG